GCGGAGAACCCGGCGGCCGCTTCACCCTGAAGATCCACATGCCACTGACGATGTTCGCCCCAGGAGGGGGGACAGCGTCAACGTAGGTGCCTGTGGACTTCCAGGAAGCCATCTCTGCATCCATAGCCGCCTGCCACTGAGAGGAGTAGGGACCCTCTATCGCCTCCGCGTAAGAGCGCGGAGTCGGGATGTCTAGTGCATCCGGGTCTCCCTCAGGGGCTAGCAGTACAGACGCGAGATGAGGTGAAGCGGCGGCCAGACACTGGAACTCCTCCTGCCTGTCCTCAAGGACGTCCGTGCCAAGGGCACACTCACCCCCGACGGACGGAGGACAGGCAGACTCAGACTCAGCGACAAGACTAGCAGCGTAGTCTAGACGACAGCGCGCAGCAAACTCGACGAGCTAAGTGACAAGGGCAGACGCAGCAGAAGACTCGAAAGAAGGGTCAGTGACAGCACTAGCAAGGAGACGCGTGACAGTAGGACTGGCAGCACGAAGAGAGTCCGACTCCGGGTCGGCAAGAGCAGGAAGAGAGGAAGCAGGAGGAGAAGGCAAAGGGGCACGCAGGGGAGCAGTAGACGGACGCAGAGACATCCGGTGCGTGCCAGGGACAGGAGGAGGACGCTGACGCGAACCGCGACCACTAGCGCGCGCAGTACGAACAGGCGACGCAGGACGAGACGCAGGCTCACGCCGCTCGGTAAGACCTCCAGTCAAACCAGCGTAGGGAGAAGGAGCAGGCAAAGGGGAGCCAGGCTGTAGCTGTGACTGTGACGAGACATGCTGTGGACCCTCTAAGGGAGGAGGAGGAGGACCAGGAGAAGGTGTAAGACCAAGAACCTGCTGCAAGAGCGGAACGAAGTACGGTCGGGGCCGCGCGGCGACGCCAGGAACAGCAGGGACAGCACCAGTACCCCCAGCAGGAGTACCCGCTCTAGCAGCACCTCCAGCAGCACCTCCAGTAGCTCCAGAACCTCCAGCAGCACCACCTGGAGCACTGCCAGTCGGACCGTCAGCGGCAGTCTCAGCGCCAACACCCTCAGCAGCACCAGCTCCAGGAGAACCCTCAGACCCAGCAGCTCCAGCACCCACAGTACGAGCACCTCCGGGACGCTCGGCAGCAGTACCCTCTGCAGCCGAAGAACCTCCAGCACCAGCAGCACACCTCCAGCACCGGGCAAACCACTCACGCAGCTCCTGTGGGGGGAGTGGCTCTCGACGAGACGAAGCACCTCCAGGCGTAGCACCCCCAGTCTCAGCACCCCCAGGCTCACCACCCTCAGGCCCAGCACCCCCAGGCTCAGCACCCCCAGGCTCAGCACCCCCAGGCCCAGCACCCCCAGGCTCAGCACCCCCAGACTCAGTACCCCCAGGCTCAGCACCTCCAAACTCCGCACCCCCAGGCTCAGCACCTCCAAGTGTAGCACCTCCAGGCTCAGTACTCCCAGGCTCAGCTCGCGCAGCAGCACCAGAGTCACCAGTGACCTCGACAAGCTCGACCGCGTCTACCTGGGACACACCTGAAGGGGCAGGACCCTGAGGGGGGAGGGGGTCTACCGGGGGGGGACCTGGTACCAAGAAGAGCGGGGGCGGGGGGAGGGACGGAGTGCGGTAGGGGAAGAGGCGGTAGTAGGGTACCGACTCGTCGAACGTGACATCCTGGGAGGACAGAACACGTCGAGAGGTGGGGTGGTAGAACTGCCACCCAGGGGCATCGGGGGGGAACCCCAGGAAGACGCAGGGAGCAGCGCGAAGGGACAGCTTGTCCGCAGACAAGTCGCGGACAAACGCCCGAGATCCCCAGACCCGGAACGCCGACGCATCGCCAACCTTCCCCGTTCACAGCAGGGCTGGGGAGGTCTCCGGCCTGGAGACCCAAGGGTGGAGGTTGATCTGATGCGCTGCGTACCTGACCGCAAACGGCCACAGAAAATGGGGGGCAGCCGCATGCATCATGGACGTACGAGCGACGTCCATGACCATGCCAATGCGGCGCTCTGCAATCCCATTTTGCTGCGGGGAGTCCGGAAGCGTGAAGGTCTGGCGGATGCCTCGCGCACGACAGTAGGCACGCAGAAGGCCAGAGGAGAACTCTCCGCCTCTGTCCGAGTGCAGACGCAACACAGGAAAGTCCGAGCCAAAGCTCTGCCTGAGCTGGAGACGAGCAGCGCGGATCCAGTCGATCAGCACCTCAGGGACATCACCCTTGCTGCGCAAGGGGAAGACTGTGGTGTAACACGAGTAGTCGTCAACCACCAACAGGAAGTAGCGCTCGTGACCGAGTCCACGGACGCGGGCAGGGCCCCACACGTCCATGTGAAGCGTCTGCAACGGAGCCTCTGTCGGAGGAAACTGGGAGGAGTGAGGGGCAGCACGCTGGCGCCCCTCGACACAGGGGACACAGGCAGGGCCAGGGCCCTGAGGAAGGGGAGGTAGAGACCGGGGGAGACCAGACACAAGAAGACGGGAGGCCATGCCTCTGAGCCGAAGCAGAGAGGGGTGGCCAAGGCGGTGGTGCCAGAGGAGGGTCTCGTGAGACAGACGGCGACACGAACAGGGGGCAGACTCAGGACCAGACCTGGACGCTGCAGCAAACACCTGACCAGACGAAGGGACTCTTCCAGACTCAGCACCTGGAGGAGAAGCAGTGGTCAGTGTGTACAGGCTCGACCCTGGCTGACGTGTAAACGTAGCCAGGTGACGACCCGTGCTAGCCTCTGTGCAGTGCGTCACTCGCTGACGAGCAGGGGTGAACTGGTGGACTCCCACATCCTGTAGGTCAGCACCACTCACCAAGTTCGTAGAGAACGAGGGGAGGTAGAGACCAGACAGGGTGCCAGAGGGAGCCGCCGGACACGGGAGGACTGTGGAGAAGCGAGACAGGACAGGACCCCCAGAGGGGTCAGCCAGGGAAACCGCAACCAGCCGACTAAGCGGCGTAAGTGTGGTGCGGTCCCGAAAGAAAGAGCGAGACGCTCCAGAGTTAAGAGTGAAGGTGTGGGAGGCCGAAGCCGACGCAGTACCTGAGAGCGCAGACGCACTAGTACCTGAGAGAGCAGTCTCACGAGCACCTGAGAGCACAGACGCACTGGCACCTAGAGCAGAAGCCTCACCGGCACCTGGAGCAGCAATACCAATGCCCGGGTCAGGCGGGAAACACCGGTAACAGTCACCCTCATCACTAATGGTCACAGCATACATGGCAGCAAGGATAGCATCAAAATCAAGATCAAAGATAGCTACACCAGCCCTAGACAGCTCTCCCCAGCGGGGGATCTCCGCGGCCTCCGGGAACTGCTGACGCCAAGCGTCCGTCAGGCGGCCAAAGCAGCGCTGGGCGGGGTGGGCACCCCCACACTGCTCTCCAGTGCGGTCGCCAGTGCGGAGAACGTAGGTGCAGGGACCGAAACCCCCACCGCGCTGACGCTGCGTGTACCACTCACGGAGCTGCTGAGGGGTGGGGACGTCGCGAGAACGCTGCTGCTGCTGCTGCTGGCGCTGACCGCCACCAGTGCCGCTCCGCTGCGAAGCTCCACTCCGATCACCTCCACCTCCGCCACCCCCGCCTCCGCCTCCACCGCCCCCGCCTCCACCTCCACCGCCGCCACCTCCGCCATCTCCGCTACCACCGCCACTGCCGCCGCCACTCCCGCCTCCAGTGCCGCCACTAGCACCCCCACCCCCGCTACCACCTCCACCGCCACCCCCACTCCCTCCGCCGCCTCCACCTCCACCGCCACCGCCCCCACTGGCCCCACCCGCTCCCTTGCCCCCCTTGCCCTTGCCAGAGCGGCGTCTCCCGCTAGGGGCAGACGCCGCACCGACCGACTCAAGACCAACGAGGTCGGCCGCAGCGGCAGAGGCGACAGAGGGCAGGAGAGGGGAAGGAGAACACCCCTCAAAGATGGGGGCGCGGGGGTCACCTCGAGAGGCTCCTACAGCAACTATGCTCTTCTCTGCTGCAAGGAGGGCCTTCTCGAGGCTGTCGGCTGTGAGGGTGGTGGGACAGACCGCGAGGAAGTGGTCCCGGACTACACGAAGGGAGTCAGGGAGGCGAGTGATTAGAAAGTAGAGAGTGATGTACATGGGGGGGGGGTTCTTGGCGCAGAAGTCAGCAGGAAGCGCAGCGCGGTAGCGAGTGTCACTAGTGCGGAGGTGCGTGATGAGATCAGCAACAGTGGGAAAGGCGGCAAGGTCAAGGAAGAGGAAGGGGAGCATGAGGCGGCTCAGTGCAGCAGTGGCAGGGGAGGAGTAGCGCGCAACTACAGCGTCGTACAAGGTCTGAGCACTCTTGTACTGGCTATTGTGCGCGCGCTCAGCGGTAGGCAGGTGGCGACGCACAGCAAGACGTGCAGCAGCATCGCGCGTGGCCCACTGAGAGCGAACAGTGGCGTCAGCATCAGCAGCAGGGGCAGGGACGGCGCCAGAGGTGAGGTCAAAGAGAGACAGACCGTCGGCCCTGTCGCACTGTAAAAACAGCTGCAGGTCGTCGAGCCAGACCTCAAAGTCAATGGCTCGACCCTCAGCGTCAAAAGCGAGGACACTGGGTGTAGCCATGACGACGACAGTGGCGCAGTGCAAGCAGTAGGGGAATGGTACGCAGTGACAGCAGTGCATTGCTCACCGGGCAGGGCAGGTCGGGCGGCTCGGGAGGAAGGTCGCCTGGCGACACGGCCGCTAGGCTGCTGGGCGGCTCGGCTCCCGGGCGGCTCGGCTGCTGCTGGGCGGCTCGGCTGCTGCTGGGCGGCTCGGCGGCTCCTGGGCGGCTCGGCTGCTGCTGGGCGGCTCGGGGGCTCCGGGCGGCTCGGCTGCTGCTGGGCGGCTCGGCGGCTCCGGGCGGCTCGGCTGCTGCTGGGCGGCTCGGCTGCTGCTGGGCGGCTCGGTGGCTCCTGGGCGGCTCGGCTGCTCCGGGCGGCTCGGCTGCTACTGGGCCGCGTAGGTAGGGCTGCCGGGCGGGCCGCAGGTAGGGCGGCGGGTAGGCCGCAGGTAGGGCGGCGGGATGGCCGCAGGTAGGGCGGCGGACGGCCGCAGGAAGGGCGGCGGGGAGGCCGCAGGTAGGGCGGCGGGTGGGCCGCGACAGAGTGGCGGGGCCGCTCGAAGGAGTGGCGGGGCCGCGACGAAGTGGCGGGGCCGCGCGAAGAGGTAGCGGGGCCGCGACTGGGTGGCGGGGCCGCGACGGAGTGGCGGGCCGCTCGAAGGGGTGGCGGGGCCGCTACGAAGTGGCGGGGCCGCGCGTAGGGGTAGCGGGGCCGCGACTGGGTGGCGGGGCCGCGACGGGACGGCGGGGCCGCTAGCAAGGGCGGCGGGTGGGCCGCTAAGATAGGGCGGCGGCTGGGCCGCGAGTAGGGCGGCGGTCGGGCCGCGATGTAGGGCGGCGGGGCCGCGAAGGAAAAGGGCGACTCGGATGGTCGCTAAAAAAAAGGCGCGCGCCTCGGGCGCGCTTCGGTGGGCCCTAAAGAACAGTCCCTAGGATGGGACCTGCTCTGATTCCATGTGAAGAAAGGAACGTGAATGAATCAACTATGAATGAAGTGAGTACATAAAGGAAACCCTGATTGGGTTGTATCCCCTATGGGATACCCCACTATAGCCTACACAAATATATATAAGCTATAATGTTCTGACAAGTGCCAACCGTTTCTCCTCCGCGTTTGTGCTGGCAGGTCTCGTCACCGCATCATGGTACGCGCCGTCCGAGGCGTTGACCTCGTCAACGGGACCCACGCCGGTCAAAGTTGACCTCGTCGCCTCGTCAGTCCTCTCGGCTTCGTCCGTCGCTTCGTCGCTTTCCAGCTCCGGCGACTCTGCCGCTGCTGTCGCTAAACCCGCGAAACCGGTGCCGGCTGCAGTCCATGCACCTCCCGCTTCCCGCGCCGCTGCTACATCCATTGCCCCGCGCGCCTGCCCCTGGCCGCTCGTGCTGAGCGCGTACGACGGCGTGCTCGACCCCGACCTGTTCGAGGCAGCCGGCGAGTTAGGGCGCGGCGGGTTCGGCACGGTGATGGCGATGCGGCACGTGGAGAGCGGCGAGGTGGTTGCGGTGAAGCGCGTGGAGCGCAAGCAGCTGGTGGCGGCGTCGAACGAGGCGATGCTGTCGGCGTCGCTGAGCGAGTGCCCGGGTGTGTTGGGCGTGCGCGAGGTGCATCTGGCCGACCAGCACGCGTACATGCTCTCCGATGTGTGCCATGGCGGCGACCTCCGCGCCCTGCTGCAGCGACGCAAGGCTGCCGCAAGCAACAGCACGGGGGACGCGGGGAGAGGCAAGGGGAGGCAGTGGTGGGGGAAGGCGAGCGGGGAAGGCGGGCGGGGAGGGGGGATGGCGGAGGCGGAGGCGCTGGAAGTGGTGAAGCACGTGGGCGACGCCGTGGCGTTCTGCCACGAGCGAGGCGTGGTGCACTGCGACATCAAGCCCGACAACATCCTCTTCACATCGCCCACGCCCCTCTCCGCGCCCCTGCCTTTCTCCGCCGCCGCTGCTCCTGCTGCTCCTGCTGCGCCTGCGCGCGCCTCTCCTGCAGCCCTCAGCCTGTCCGCGCCCGTCTCCTCAGCGCGCACCTCCCCCCGCCTGGCCGCCGGGGCAGTGCGGCTGGCGGACTTTGGGTTGGCGCAGGTGGTAGCGGAGGGGCAGCGCGGGTGCAGCACTCCCGCAGGCACGCCCGGGTACATGGCACCTGAGGTGGAGGCTCTCTGCCGCCCTCGCTGCCCGCCCGCCAAGCACGCCAGAAAAGCAGCGGGGAGAGCAGAGGCAGGAAGCGCAGAGGCAGCGGGGTATGGGCGCGCAGCTGACGTGTGGTCGCTGGGGGTGACGCTGTACGAGATGATTGCGGGCGAGCGACCGTACTCAGGGGAGGCGCCTCAGCAGGAGTGGCGGGCGCGTGTGGATGGGGCTGCGTGGGAGGGCGTGTCTGAGGAATGCCGCGCGCTGGTGAGCGGCATGCTGAGAGTGCGCGCGGAGGAGAGGGTCACCATGGCGCACGTGTGCAACCACCCCACCTTCGGGGGCAGCGGGGGGAGCAGCGCGGGGAAGAGCAGGAGTGGGAGGTGGTGGTGAGCGTGATGGGTGGAGGAGAGGGAGTCGAGGGTTATTGTGGAGGGAAGGGGGCAGCAGCAGGGGGAAATGCAGCTTGTGTGGCGCGACGGTGGGGTGAGGCAAGGAGAGTGGGAGAGAACGGAGGAGCAACACTTTTTGCACCCTGCCTGTCAGGGTGTTTGGGATGCTGGTTGGATTTGGTGGATGGAAGGAGATGGGTGCACGCTGCCTTGCTGCTGCATTGCTTCGTGTTAGCTCTAATCTATCCGCTTGTTCAAGGGTTGAGGCTGGTGTGGCTGGTTAGAGATAGTCCTAGATATGGTACGGTTATAGGGTACCAGTATGTTTAGCTTTAATGATATTGTGAAATGTTCATTTCTGAACTTGATGCAGTGTTTCAATTTAACCTGGTACCAGATCCACTTACACCACACACACTTAGGATACATATTCAGCTTGGATGATGTTCTCCCAAGATTCTGGTCACGATAGATATGTGCCTAACTAACATAAATCTGCACCCGGGACTTGTATTAATAGCTCCACCAACTCGGGCCACTGCAACGGTAATGGTACATAATAGGTATGTGTTTTATTGTACATACTGTACATGTTTCCAATCCAAGTGATCAATTGGTTTCATACATATACAGGAAATCAGGACTTTTCCGAAGCGTTCGGTCTTATAATACATATCCGCATCTGGCCAGTCATTCTGCCTTTGCACCATTCCCCTCTGCTTTGACCAACACAAACACGGCCTCATGAATAAATACCGGCAGGCACATGATCCGATCTCTCACACAAGCACTCCCGGGGAAACGAATAGAAGCTTCCTCTTACTGCGGCCTTCCCGTTGCTGTCGTCTCCCCTGAGCGTCTGGTTGCGCAGCTTGTGAGCGCTCTTGGCATCGCCTTGCTGGATGGCAGCGAGGAGGCGGAGGATAGAGGAACCAAACAGCTGCACCGTGTTTCCCACCCCGTCGTACCTGGAGGGTGGGAATTGGGAGATGGGTGTTGGACTGGATATTAGAAGGACACGGATATAGGAGAGCTCTTCACATCGCCTTGCTGGATGGCAGCGAGGAGGCGCAGGATGGAGGAGCCAAACAGCTGCACCGTGCTAACCATGCCGTCATACCTGATGTTAAGGTGGAGATATGGGGGTTGAGGAGGGCGATTGAATGGGCAGGAGTGTTTCTGATGAGGCAAACATGTGGTGCTCGCAGCCAACCGATGGGCTTTCTGTTGAGCACCAGCATCTGCCCCCGCCTCCCTCAACTCCATTACCCACCCCACCCATCCCAACTGCTCAACACCATTGCCCACTGTTCCAAACCACGCCTTCTGTGCCCCGCGAGCACGTGAGCCATGTTGCCATTGTTGTTGAGCACCAGCATATGCCTGCCCCCCCCTCTCACCCTCTATAAACCGTAGCTCACCACTCTAAACCGCACTTTCTGTGCCCGGCGAGCAGGTGAGCCATGTTGCCATTGTTGTTGAGCACCAGTATGTACCCACATCTCCCACCCCCCTCATTTCCCACCTGTCCCAACCCCTCAGCACCCATACGAATCCGCACCTTCTGTGGCCCGAAAGCAGGTACGCCATGTTGCCATTATTGTTGAGGATGAGCATCTCTAGCCACCTTCCTCAACACCATTGCCCACCACTCTAAGCCGCACCTTCTATGCCCAGCGAGCAGGTGCGCCATGTTGCCATTGTTGTTCAGCACCAGCATGTGCCCTCGCCGGCACATCTCATAGTCCACCGCTGCTAGAAGCATTACCCCTTCCCCCCATCACTCAACAACCATTGCCCTATAGCCCACCACTCTACACCGTTCTAAGCCACACCTTCTGTGCCCGGAGAGCAGGTGAGCCATGTTGCCATTGTTTTTGAGCACCATCATGTGCCACTGCCTCCCTAATACCGTTGCCCTCCCCACCGTTCTGCACCGCACCTTCTATGTCCAGAGAGCAAGTGAGCCATGTTGCCATTGTTGTTCAGCACCAGCATGTGCCCTCGCCGGCACATCTCATAGTCCACCGCCGCTAGGAGCGTCTTCCTCCCTTGCAGCCCCTCCAATACCCCTCGCCCCACTCCCCCTCCCCCATCGCCCCCCCTTCCCCACTCTACAGCTGCACCCTTCGCGGCTCCACTCTCTCCCCCTGCACTACTTGACACATCCCTGTCGGCCACCCTGCCCTCCTTCCCCCTAGCAGGAGCGAGGGAACGAGCGAGGGAGTATTTGTCAGTGGCAAAGGGGAAGGCCTTGAGGAGAGGTTGCAGCGCAGAGGACCCCCCGTGGAGCTCACCCGAGGCGATGTACAGGCGGGTAGATGGGGGGAAGCCTAACGTTTCTAGGGCCACTGCCACCTGCAGGAACAATAAGGAGCAATGGAAGAGAGGGAGGGAGCAGGGGAGTGCTTGTCAGTGGCGAAGGGGGAGGCGGGGAGGAAGGAAAAGGGGGGGCGGAGGGGATAGAGGCGGGAATGTGAGGCTCCTCAAAAGATTTACAGGCACGCGGCAGGGGGGAAGCCCAGCGCCTGTAGAGCCACTGCCACCTGGGGAACAAGGTGAGGGAGGGTGAGGGGGGAAAAAGGGGTGGGGTGAGGTGGGATGGAGTGGGCGGTGGGGACGTATGGGGGATTGGGTGGGGGGGGGGGGGGGGAGGCAAGGCGGGCTTGAAAGGGGATTATCTGCATACAAGCAGATGGGAAGGTTAAGAGTAGGAGGAGCAGGGTGGGGAAGATAAGATTTTGACACTGCCTGGCCTGGATGGTCCATACACTAGCCTGCACTGCCTGGCCTGGATGGTCCATACACTAGCCTGCGAGGGGCTGACAAGGCACTTGCCCTTGTCCCTCTGCTGCTTGGGGTTCAAGCGGGGCAGCTCCGGCCACCTCTTTCTGATCCTCTCAAGCAGCCTCCTCTCGCCCACCTTTTAATTTTAACCAGAAACGCACCTGCGAGGGAGTGACAAGGCACTTGCCCTTGGCCCTCTGCTGCTTGGGGTTCTGTCTGGGCAGCTCCGGCCACCTCTTTCGGATCCTCTCAAACAGCCTCCTCTCCTTCCCCCCTCCGCCGTAGTCACACCCTGTAAACGCCAGCATGTCAGGCTCGTACCTGCACTCGTGGAATGCAGAGAGAGGATGGGGGGTAAGGTATGATCATGGAGTGAATGCCAGCATGTCAGGCTCATACCTGCACTCGCATGCCACGTGGCGGGTGTCTGGAGGGTAAGGGTAATGCATGGGCTGGCATGGAAAAGGAGGGCTACGCATGGCACGGCATGGAGAGAGAAAAGTGCATGGGATGTCATCCAGAGATATGAATGCATGGAAAGGGAATTGTGGTGGATATGTGTAAAACAAGGCGGCAATAAGGCACAGCAGCTATAAAATACAGCGGCAACAACAATTTCCGTAATATACGTGAATCACAAAGATTAGCATGCTCGTCTCACCTCCCATGCTCATCTCTCCTCCCATGCTCATCTCACCTCCCATGCTCATCTCACCTCCCATGCTCGTCTCACCTCCCATGCTCGTCTCACCTCCCATGCTCATCTCACCTCCCATGCTCATCTCACCTCCCATGCTCATCTCACCTCCCATGCTCATCTCACCTCCCATGCTCATCTCACCTCCCATGCTCATCTCACCTCCCATGCTCATCTCACCTCCCATGCTCATCTCACCTCCCATGCTCATCTCACCTCCCATGCTCATCTCACCTCCCATGCTCATCTCACCTCCCATGCTGATCTCTCCTCCCATGCTCATCTCACCTCCCATGCTCGTCTCACCTCCCATGCTCGTCTCACCTCCATGCTCATCCCACCTCCCATGCTCATCTCACCTCCCATGCTCATCTCACCTCCCATGCTCATCTCACCTCCCATGCTCATCTCACCTCCCATGCTCATCTCACCTCCCATGCTGATCTCTCCTCCCATGCTCATCTCACCTCCCATGCTCGTCTCACCTCCATGCTCATCCCACCTCCCATGCTCATCTCACCTCCCATGCTCATCTCACCTCCCATGCTCATCTCACCTCCCATGCTCATCTCACCTCCCATGCTCATCTCACCTCCCATGCCCATCTCACCTGAGATGCAGCGCCACATACTTGACTGCCTCCCCACTCCCCTCCGTCAGCATCCCCACCTCCCTCTCATCTCTCTGCTCTTTCTTCACTTGTGGCCCATGCCCTGCCCCTTCACCACCGCAACTTGTCACAGCAGCAGCAGCGCCAGCAGAACCAGTGGCACCAGCAGAACCAGCAGCAGACGCAGGAGAGGAAGCACTAGCAGGAGAGGAAGCGCTAGCAGGAGCAGCAGCAGAAGAGCCAGGGGAAATGGAAGCGGAGGCGGCGAGGGGGGAGGGGTGGGTGAGGGCGCGGGTGAGACGGGCGATGGCTCGAGTGACTGCCGGTACGAAACGAAGTGCCTCGTAGTTGGCTTTACATCGCAGCTGGTTGGAGGGAAAAGGGGGGAAGAAGAGGGGGGGGAGGGATAAAGGGAAATGGCTGGGGGGGAGAGAAGGGCGACGGCTCGAGTGACTGTCGGTACAAAGCGCAGTGGCTCGTAGTTGGCTTGACAGTGCAGTGGCTCGTAGTTGGCTTGACAGCGCAGTGGCTCGTAGTTGGCTTGACAGCGCAGCTGATGGGGACAAGGAGGGACGGCAGAGATGGGGAGGTAGAACGGCAGGAGAAGGAGCACAGCATGCGATGGGGGAGGAGAAGCAAGTTTGCTCCCTTGTAAGATTACTCAAAGCGCCTTGTAGTTTGACCAACAGTGAAGTTCATGCAGGGGCCCAAAGGGGATGGCAGAGAGGAGACAGGGCACGAGTATTTTGAGTGTCCCATGGATCAACGCATCAAAGTCGTCAGCACAGCTGGTGTGTGTTACACATCGTGTGAACTCAAGCAGTGTGTGAACTCTAGCAGTGTGTGAACTCAAGCAGTGTGTGAACTCAAGCAGTGTGTGAACTCAAGCAGTGTGTGAACTCAAGCAGTGTGTGAACTCAAGCAGTGTGTGAACTCTAGCAGTGTGTGAACTCAGGCAGTGTGTGAACTCAAGCAGTGTGTGAACTCAAGCAGTGTGTGAACTCAAGCAGTGTGTGAACTCAAGCAGTGTGTGAACTCTAGAGGATCTCAAATCGCCATGTGCCTTGCGGGTTATTGTGAGTGCCTGCGAGCCCCTGGTTACGGTTGATGCTTTTCTTACCGTCTGCAGGGGTGCAGGCAGGCTGTAGTTGAGCTTGAACTTGAAGTGGTTCAGCGTCAGTACCTGCGCCCTCCTGTGGTGGGCTCAACGAGAGAGGACGGTATGCCGGGAGGAAGGCCGTGGCGGGGAGAGAAGGGAGGAGTGGGCAGCGGGGGGGGAAGTTGGCAGGGACAGTGGCAGTGCAGCACTGGGGATATGTAATAAGATTGGAGCCCGCCCCCCCCTCCTCACCTGATGACAGCCCCCTCCTTCCCACACCTGATAAAAGAGTCGGAAGCCTTCTGAAAAGAGATGACAACCCAATAGCCCCCCACACACCTGATGAATGAGGGGCTGTGCGTGCTTCCTGTAGGTCCCTACAGGCACGTCCGGCGAGGAGGCCTTGGGCACCATGCGCTCCACTGGAGTCAGGTCTGTGAGCGCAGTGGGCGGGTGTGACACCACCACCCTCACTGAGGCGGTTTAAGGCAACCTCACAGCCACCCACCCACCTCATGAGGGGCCGCACGTGCTTGGTGTAGTAGTCCGGACACGAGGCTTGGTGTAGTAGTCCGGACACGAGGCTTTGGGGACCGTGCGCACCACTGGAGGCAAGTCCCTGAGCGCACCACACGGACCGAGGGAAAACCCAACAGTTCCCCACCCCACCTACCTGATGAGCAGGCGCACGTGCTTGAGGTAATAGGCCGGCGAGGAGGCTTTGGGCACGGTGCGCACGACAGGGGGCAGGTCCTGAGCGTGGCAGGTAGGCGTGGCACAGTGGCACTACCCGCACTGGAACGATTTGAGGCGACCTAACAGCCCTCCACCCACCTGATGAGGGGTCAAATGAAGGCGTTTGAGGCCACGCACCTGATAAGTGGGCGCACGTGCTTGAGGTAATAGGCCGGCGAGGAGGCTTTGGGCACGGTGCGCACGACAGGGGGCAGGTCTCTGAGCGTGGCAGGTAGGCGTGGCACCACGCGCACTGAGGGGGCGAGGGTGCGGATGAAGTGAGGCGCGTCAAAGACATCGGAGAAGGTGCTGCTCGTGGGGGGGGTTGGGGGGGTGATTGGATGGAAAGGTGTGTTTTTTAGTGTCTCACCCCAGTGAGTGTCTCACTGCCATCATTCCATCACATCACTCCCCAGGGTGTCCCGCACCTGCCATTAGCCCCACCAAGAGGAGTAATCAAGCAGACAGCATGCCATCATGCCTTCTTTCCCCAGTAAGTGCCTCACCTCCCATCATGCCATCACCTCCCATCATGCCATCACCTCCCATCATGCCATCACCTCCCATCATGCCATCACCTCCCATCATGCCATCACCTCCATCATGCCATCACCTCCCATCATGCCATCACCTCCCATCATGCCATCACCTCCCATCATGCCATCACCTCCCATCATGCCATCACCTCCCATCATGCCATCACCTCCCATCATGCCATCACCTCCCATCATGCCATCACCTCCCATCATGAAATCACCTCCATCATGCCATCACCTCCCATCATGCCATCACCTCTCATCATGCCATCACCTCCCATCATGCCATCACCTCCCATCATGCCATCACCCCCCAGCGTGTGCCTCACCTGCCGTCGGCCCACCAGGAGGAGTTATCAAGCAGCGGCAGCACCAGGGTCGCCCCGAGCATGTTCGCCACCACCACTGCATCGCAGATCTGCCAGCACACAGGCGAGGATGCGGGGTGGGGAAGGCACGGGGGTAGGACGGGGTGGGAAGATGAAGGGGGGATGGCGCCTGCATCCTCGCCACCACCACGGGGGAGATGAAGAGAGGGGGAAGGGCAGAGAGGAGGACGGGCTGGGGAGATAAACGATGGCGGCTGCAGCAGCTTCGTTGGAACAGAGGCCACTGGAAATGTAAAAGATGGAAAGAAGGTCACTCGGAAACAGGGAGTCGGGGGAAGAAGATAGGGCCGTGAGGGGAAGCAGATAGGGCAGTGGGGGAAAGCAGATAGGGCAGTGGGGGGAAGCAGATAGGGCAGTGGGGGGAAGCAGATAGGGCAGTGGGGGGAAGCAGATAGGGCAGTGGGGGCTGTTTCTGCTGCCCCACTCACCCCTGCGCTCACTCACCCCTGCGCGCATCTGGTTAAGCCCCCCTCGGAGCTGCACCATCAGATATTCCCCCTCCGCCTCCCCCTTGCCCCGGTCCTCGGCTGCTGGACTAGCTGGATGCATGCACGGCACAGATGTATACCGTTAGACAGGAGGGGGTGGGGAAGGGACGGATGGGGATGCGAGAGTGCATTTCCTCAGTTCAGATGGACAGGTTGGGTGGGCTCAGGGGTGTGATGGTGTGAGGATGGGTGCAGACACACTGTGGTCGGGAGATTGAGTGGTGAGGGGTGTGATGTGTGAGAGTGGTCTTCACTCTCAGCAACCGGGGAGGAGTGTGCCTGTGCTAGTGTGGTGGCTTGTGTGTCGATTCAATATTCACCTCGCGAATCGTGTGCACTCACCCCACCCAGCACCCCCGCACCCAGCACCCAACCATCCAGCACCCAACCATCCAGCACCCAACCATCCAGCACCCAACCATCCAGCACCCAGCCGTCCAGCACCCAACCGTCCAGCACCCAACCGTCCAGCACCCAACCGTCCAGCACCCAACCGTCCAGCACCCAACCGTCCAGCACCCAGCACCCACGCAGCACAGGGAACCCACCCGAGGCAGTGTGGCATGAGTCCCCGCCCCCCGCACACCCCCTCCACCTCACTCCCCCCATCACCGGCCATCCCTGCTCCCCCACGCCCCCCGCCTGGGCGCCCCTTTTGCCCTGCCAGCAGGGAAGAGGCGCGCAAAGGGGAGCGAAGAGAGCAGGACGGAGGACGCACAGGGAGGTTGGGAGTGGTAGAGGGAAGAGGAAAGGGTTGGATGGTCCAGCGACGTGGAATACAACATGACGTGGCCAAATGACCCTTTGGATGGCACGTTTCAAAGGATCTGGTTCCACATCCTACTTTTGACGCGCCTCAATAGTAGACTCCTCAAAAGAGGCGCCTCAAAAGAGGCGCCTCAAAAGTAGACCCCTCAAAAGTAGACTCCTCAAAAGAGGCGCCTCAAGATAGGCGCCTTAAAAGATGGAAATCCTTCGGATGGCACGTTTCAGAAAATCTGGTACCAGATCCTTTGAGCAGCACGTTTCAAACAGGGCAATTCGTCAAACGGAAGCACAATATTCTTCGATGTGCATGAAAGAAAAAACAAGACTCTCACAATCGCCTGCCGTGTGTGTGTGGCGCTGATGTTGTCACTGTTGGTGCTACCGCTGCTGTCTCCCCCCCCTCTGCTGCCGACACTCCGGAAGCTCTGCAGCGCTGCTCCTTGCATGGCAGCTGCGTGCAGGAAACTCGCCTGAATGTCGCCTGCCATGGCAGCACTTGCCAGGGAGGCACCCGCTAGTCCAAAGGGCTGCAGGGCTTGCAGTTGCTGATGCACACGTGGGGAGGGATAGATGGGCACGGGTGGGGAGGGATGGGTACAGGTGGAGAGGGATGGGGACAGGTGGGGGGGGATAAAGGGATGAGAGCACATGGTGGGGGGATGAGGGGATAGGAGCACGTGGTGAACAAGAATCAAAGAAAGGAGAGACGGTCGGGGTTTATGCATGCACGTGCGGTCTCATGTTGGGGTTTATGCATGCACGTGCGGTCTCATGTTGGGGTTTATGCATGCACGTGCGGTCTAATGTCGGGGTTTATGCATGCACTTGCGGTCTAATGTCGGGGTTTATGCATGCACGTGCGGTCTAATGTTGGGGTTTATGCATGCATGTGTGCTCTGCCGTTAGGGTTTAAGCAAGCATGTGTATTCTGTCGTTGAGGTTTATGCATGCATGTGTGCTCTGCCGTTCGGAGTTATGCATGCGTGCGTGCTCTGCCGTTGGGTTTTAAGTACGGATGTGTGCTATGCTGTTTGGGTTTATGCATGCATGTGTGCTCTGCCATTGGCTACGACATCCCAGTGCCCCAGCAACATCCATGCGGCGGTGCACGGCGAGGTGGAGGAGAGTGTGAGTGAGTGGAGTGATGCACGCCCTCGGTCGGATGCCAGCGGAGGGAGGGGCATTGCACAGAAGCAAGGGAGTGTGTGTGAGGGGAGTGTGTGTGAGGGGAGTGTGTGTGAGGGGAGTGTGTGTAAGGGGAGGAGCGTTTCTTGGAGCAGGGAGGACGGGAGGCGCCATACCTGCAGCAGCGCGTCCATGCGGCGGTGCGAGGCAAGGTGCAGGAAGGCCATGTGTGAGGAATGTGTGTGAGAAGGAGCGATTCAGGCGATTCAAGGCAATTCAAGGCGTCGTACCTGCAGCAGCGCGTCTATACGTCGGTGCGAGGCGAGGTGCAGAAAGGCCACGCAGCCCGCCACAACCACCGCCGCCAGCAGCGCCGCCGTCAGCGCGCCCTGCTGCCCGCACCGCCATGCTGTCGCGCGCATGGGAAACCAGACAGGCAGGCAGAGGGATCATGGGATGGTGGGTGGGGGCGCATAGGGGAACCAGACAGGCAGGCGGATGGGATGGCGGGGAATGTGGGGTGGACGGGGTGACTCGGGGCCGTGCGGGTGGAATGGGAGGCATTCGGGCGGAATGAGAGGGGTGTTAGGAATGTTAAGGTTCTAAGGTTAGTCAGTTTGGACCCGTTAGCATAGCCTGCCATATCAAAATAGCTTCCAGCAGGCTTATCACGTAATCGCGAATCGTCAACGGAGTTTTTTTTTGTCATTTTTGAACCACAGCGATCTCATCACACAGTTCACCACCATAATTAGCATGATGTACCGCACAGCGCAGTCACCATGGCATGGCAGAAGCAGCCCTGGGCCAGCAGTACCAGCGGTCGCAGAAGGAGATGGTGACGAAGCGCTCGCCGTCCCGCGTCGCCGCCTCGCCACTGTCGCGATCGCGGGCATCGACATCTGGCGGTGCGGCTTAAGAGGCGCCTCGTACAGAGTAGATGCTAGCTCCGGCATCGACATCTGGCGCTGCGCTCCCGACACAAATGATGCCGTGAAAGGAGAGTACCGGAATCAAACGGCCGAGCGCGCCGGCATCAACGGCTCTCCACCTTGATCAAGAATGGCTTAAAGGGGTCGTTTTCGAATTCGAAAAGAGCGTTGTGCCCGGTCGTGACTGCTAATTTCTTCTGCAATGTCCACGCAGGGTCGGGCGGAGGCCCGCGTTTTATTGGTGCTTGGAGTACTGGAGAAAAACGAGCCTTTTCGATGCGCGGAATGTCTGGCGATTGGAATGTGCTATCTTTCCTATTCGAGGGGCTGAGATAAAGACTAATGACGTAGACGAATCGTAATAGGAGTCTTCACAGAGTCGAAACAAGTTGTTTCCGCAGGATGAGCTGCTGCCAACACGGAAAGATTTCGTGACTTTCTGCAATAAGCTTAGGGCGAGCTAGATTTGTAGGGCCAAAGTTTTGACGAGTCGAATGTAGCCAAAGTTTCATTTGCGAACGTCGTCTGACCTCTCGCGAACAACGGCGAGTCCTTGTTTTCGACAATAATTCGGCCAAATGCTTAGATCTGACACGCTACTGCTCCTATGTTTCCGGAAAGTAAGCCAAGACGATTCGATTGACGAACGCGTTCTTCGAATCGCGAAATCTGCTGCTCAAACAGGATTTCCAAAACTCTATCAATGGTAACCATTTTCGAAGGGCGGATCAGCTTCAATAAGCAAATTCGCGAATTCCGTGGAACGCGGAGCAACGAGGCCCAAACAACACACAAACGTTCCATTCAACCTTTGTCCTGTCCGCTAATCGCTAAATACCTTATTAACGTACTCCATAGCACTTGATCACACATGACCACGATGGAAGGCCCGCCTGCCCGAGCGGGGATCTGAAACACTTTCCAATTCTTGTGGTACAGTGGCCCGTGGCGAATGTGGCGAGGGAGGCGAAAGGAATTTGTTCAGTTCAGTACATGATAGGGAGAAAGTTGGCTACGAGCTACCACGAAAATCATATGATATGCTGCTTTGTAACATTGACCCTATGGAATCATCCTCCTTTCACATGATTCTACGTCTTAACGAAGCTGTTGTTTGTGAGTATCTGCATCCTTCATTGCCCAGAACGCGTTCAGCGTAACAGGCTCCATCATAGCCGTTCTCCCATTGAACTAAGCCGCCTGATTGGTTGATTGGGGCAGAACGCGACGCGATTGAAAGCACCAGCCAATCGGTTTTCAGGTTCACCACAAATTTATTCCACCGCTGCGAGTCATCCCTTATTCTTCCTCCGTTGTTTGACTCCGCTTCTTGCGGTGGTGCCACGAATAATTCACTACGAGTAATTCGCGGCATCCCGAATACCAACCCAGTGGGGTTGATGGGACTCTCTAGGGTTCAGAACGCGTTCTCATCGCCCGCCTCACACGGCGCCGAGGCCGTCGCTCGGCGCAGGTTGCAAGTCGCAAGAGCGCGCACTCTCCGCTCCTTGCGGCGACGATGGCGACGCCGCTGACCGCGTTCCCGCTTGTGCTTGGACTAGCAGTAGTCGTGGTACCAGTAGGCATTTCGCCTCTGGTCGGGGTGGACGGGCGTGTCAGGGAAGGCGAGTGAGCAGTTACGGAGATCCATGGCAGGAGCTGAGCCATTTCCCGCAAATCGGAGTTGCAACGTTGTTGAACTGGTAATCGACGGAGTCTGCAGTCGTCAGGACACTGGTAGCAGCAGGCTGTCACACTCATGTACAAGTGATCATAATCTTACGTGCTGTAGTCTAATCCGCACTCAGTTCTTTACTCCCTCTCTTGCCCGACACCCCCACGGCGCCACGAGTACATCTCGTCCTCTTTCCCCTACCGCGTATGAGTCTAGCCGCCGTGCTCTCTCGAGCTTTTGAGACCGTCCGCTATTCCACATTCTCAGCAGCCCGTCGTAGTCTGCTCCGCAATCCCCTCTGCTCCGCAATCCCCTCTGCTCCGCAATCCCCTCTGCTCCGCAATCCCCTTTGCTCCGCAATCCCCTCTGCTCCGCAATCCCCTCTGCTCCGCAACCATCTCTAGTACTCGAGTGGAGGATCCTCAAACCGCATCACCTGCGCGGGACTCGCCACCCATAACATCGCCCGCCATATCTTCTTTCCCTAGTACGCGCGTGGCCGCCAGCTGCACGGCACAATGGCGGGCGGCGGGAGTGTTCATGCCGTCATTGCGCTGGTTGCGCTGCTCCTCATCCTCGCCATCGCCGCTGGTGCGCCTCTGCTACCTGCTCCCATTCTCACATACCCCCGTGCTCCTTGCTCCCGTGCTCCCTTTCTCTCGTACTCTCATGCTCAACTCTCAATGACTCCATGCTTTCATGCACCCATGCTCCCATTCTCTCATGCTTTCATCCGCCCATGCTCCCATTCTCTCATACTTTCATGCTCTCACACTTCAAGCCCACATAAGCTGATGCTCTTACATGCTCCCATGGCATCCCCCTTCGCTCCATAATCCAATTCTTGCATGCTCCCATGCTCTTTCCCATGCTCCAATGCTCTTTCCCATTCTCCCAATCTCCTAAACTTTCCCATTCCCTTCACTATTACATGAGCAGCCACTGGCGCGGCACCCAATACCCTGGGCACGCGGGTGAGCATCAACGGCCGCGCCATCACCTTCAACTCGCTGCGCTGTGTCAACATTCCGCCCAAGAGCTCCCGTCGCGGCGGCAGCAAGAAGGTGCAGGTGGCGTGGACGCCGGCAGGCGCACCTGCTGCGTGTAGCGAGATTCAGTTGTTTTCCAAGCCTGGGTGCAAGGGAACGCCCGTGGAATCTCTGCTGCACGGCAGGCAGCGGTGAGCTCGCGCCTGCAGCTCACAAGCCTTGCTTCTCTGCTTCCCTGCTTCCCTGCTTCCCTGTTTGCCTGCTTCCCTGCTTCCCTGCTTCCCTGCTTCCCTGCTTCCCTGCTTCCCTGCTTCCCTGCTTCCCTGCTTCCCTGCTTCCCTGCTTCCCTGCTTCCCTGCTTCCCTGCTTCCCTGCTTCCCTGCTTCCCTGCTTCCCTGCTTCCCTGCTTCCCTGCTTCCCTGCTTCCCTGCTTCCCTGCTTCCCTGCTTCCCTGCTTCGCTTCTTCTCCTTTCCCTACTACTTCACCTTCAACGTCTTCATATAGGGACCACAGTTGGCTGTTCTCAATCATGCTCCCTTTATCTTTCACTCACGGCCCATTGCATCTGTGCCTTGGGGCGGGCCTGTGCGTCTGTGTGCGTGAAGCAGGGCGAGGAAGATTGCCAAGCCGCTGAAGTCCGTGCGATGCATCATTGGTGCGTCCACTGCTGCTCTCCCTCTCCATCTCCCTCCTTCTGCATTCCTTCGGTTCCATTCTTCCCTCTCTATTTCTCCATGCCGTCTCTTCTCAAATCTTCTCGATTTGCCCCTTCATTTCCCTTCCTTCTTTTTTTTCCTTCCCTTCCCTTCCGTTCCCTCCCCATCCCTTCCCTCTCCTTCTTTCTCTCCTCTCTGCTGTTCTTCGCAATTCCTTTTACTCTCCTTTCTCTCTTGCACATTCCTTTTCATTAGTAGCCTTTGCCAAACTCAACACTTAGCTCGTCTCCTCCCCACTTCTCCTCTTTCCCATTCTCCTCTCCTCCCTCTCCTTTCCTCTCCTCTCCTCTCCTCACCCTCGCTAACAAACCCTCCAGCTCAATCCAAACGCGCACCAACAAACCTTCCAGCTCAACCCATACCCGCGCCAACAAACCCTCCAGCTCAACCCATACCCGCGCCAACAAACCGTAAGCATGTGCAAGAACCCTGCTCCCCTGCTTCCCTGCTCAACTACACGAATGTTGCGTGTTGTGCTGGTCTCTCTCCCTTCCGCCTAGAGCACTCCTTTCGCCCCCCTGCTCTTTTCTCATCTTCTCTCCTCTCTGTTATCCGTCTCCCTTCTCTCCTCTGTTCTCCTCTGCTCTCCTCTCGCCTCTCCTCTCCTCTTTTCTACTCCCATCCTCAGCACTAATCTCCCCACTGTGTGCCTCACTCCTCCCCACCCTCTCCCCTCTGCCCCTCCCAACCCCTCACTGCCGGTGCTCCCGAGGACATCTGTGGGCATGCAGTGTGCCTCATTTCCCCCTCCCTCTCCCCTCCCCCCCCCAATTCCCCCCAGCACTCACTGCCGGTGCCCCAGAGGACATCTGCCAGGCGTGCCCCGCGGAATGCAGGTGTGACGCAGCCTCGGAAGGCAGCGACTCGCCACCTGAATCCATTGATTCACTGGGTGGCTCATTGGATTTCATGGAGGATGACTTTCCGGCTGAACCCTTGCCAGCAGACGGTAAGCATGCGCAAGCGCAAAAGCGATCTTCAAAAACTCAAGAAATCGGAAGGCAACCTGTCCACCTGAGTGCATCGATTCACCAGGTGGCTCATTGGATTCTCTGGAGGATGATGTTCCATTCGAACCCCCGCCATCAGACGGTGAGCATGCGCAAGTACAAGAGCCATTCTCTGAGAATCCTAAAAAATCGGAAGGCAATGACTCTCCACTGAACCCATTGATTCACTGGGTGGCTTATTATAATCTATGGAGGATTACCCTCCAGTTTATCTTCCTTCCGAACCCTCACCATCAGACAGTGAGAATGTTCCGAGACGAACATTCTCAGAATGTCCAGACCAGAGTATCTCAGAACATTCTCACCGTCAGAGGGTAAGAATACTCTGAGAATGTTTTGTCATCAAAACTCAACTTATATCACAAGGATGACCTTCCCGCTTATCTTCCTTCCGAACCCTCGCCATCAGACGGTGAGCATGTGCAGGTGCAAGAGCCTTCTCGCCATCAGACGGTGAGCATGTGCAGGCGCAAGAGCCTTCTCGCCATCAGACGGTGAGCATGTGCAGGTGCAAGAGCCATCAGACGGTGAGCATGTGCAGGTGCAAGAGCCTTCTCGCCATCAGACGGTGAGCATGTGCAGGTGCAAGAGCCTTCTCGCCATCAGACGGTGAGCATGTGCAGGTGCAAGAGCCTTCTCGCCATCAGACGGTGAGCATGTGCAGGTGCAAGAGCCATCAGACGGTGAGCATGTGCAGGTGCAAGAGCCATCAGACGGTGAGCATGTGCAGGTGCAAGAGCCTTCTCGCTGTATGTTACATTCGAGACTCTGGATGGTCCTCCTTGCGTTGAGCAAGCCTTAGCAGTCCATGGTATATCACTGCAGTGCAGGGAGCGCCAGTATACACTCTGATGCAGAGCAGTCAGCGATGAGGTATCATCCCTGTTACTCTGCTTCCCTGTTTGCCTAATTTCCTGTTTGCCTACTTTCCTGTTTGCCTAATTTCCTGTTTGCCTACTTTCCTGCTCCTGCTCCCTCCCTGCATCGTTGGTGCGTGCTGTGCTGGTCTCTCTCCCTCCCGCCCCCCAGCACTCCTTTCGTCCCCCTTCTCTCTTCTCGTCTTCCCTTCTCTTTGTCACCTGTTGTTACCCTCCTCTCCTCTGTGCTGCTCTGCTCAATTCTCGTCTCTCCTCTCCTCTCTTCCACTCATCTCCTCAAATTTCCTCGCCCCAGTGTGCTGTCTGCCTCACTCCTCCACTCCCTCTCTCCTCCCCCCCTCCCAACCCCTCACTGCCGGTGCTCCAGAGGACATCTGCCAGGCATGCCCCGCGGAATGCAGGTGCAATGCGACCTCGGAACTCGACGACTCTCTTCTTGAGCCTGTTGATACGACGGATGATGACCTTCCACCTGCACCCTCACCAACAGATCGTAAGCATTTCCTCCCGCTTACATTGTTTGTGTTGTTGTCCTTGTGTTTTGCGACCCTGCACATTAGAAACGCTCTCTGTGCATCTATGGCACCTAGTCCTCTGCCTGCCTTTCACACAGCTTGGTTCTTGAGGCGCCTAAAAAAAGAAACTGTTTCCCCCCATCCCCCCCCCCCTCCCCTTCCCTCCATCTGCCACCCCCACCAGCGGATGTGTGTGGCAGTAGCACTCGCAACCCCTGCAAGGCAGTACCACTCGCAACCCCTGCAAGGCAGTAGCACTCGCAACCCCTGCAAGGCAGTAGCACTCGCAACCCCTGCAAGGCAGTAGCACTCGCAACCCCTGCAAGGCAGTACCACTCGCAACCCCTGCAAGGCAGTACCACTCGCAACCCCTGCAAGGCAGTACCACTCGCAACCCCTGCAAGGCGGGCCGTATTCTTAAACCTGTCGCCTCTCCCCCCAACCACAACCCCACCAGCGGATGCGTGTGGCAGCAGCAGTACTCGTAATTCTGTGAGGTGGGTTGTATTCCAACGGCGCCTCTGAAGTGAAACTGTTTCCCCCCCCCCCCCCGCCACACCCACAACCCCCACCAGAGGATGTGTGGCAGCAGCACGCGCAACCCCTGCAAGGATAGCTCGTGCATCAGCGCTGGCCCCGGCTCCTACTCCTGTGTCTGCATGTAATCTATTCTTGAGGCGCGTCAGAAATCAAACTGCTTCCTCCCCCCACCACCTCCACCAGCGGATGTGTGTGGCAACAGCACCAGGAATCCCTGCAAGTATGGCTCCTGCATCAGTGGTGGCCCCGGCTCCTACTCCTGTGTCTGCCCGCCCTATCGCGTCCCGTCCAAAAGCAACGGATACCCCACCTGTGATTACGGTATGCTCTCTGCCCCTCTCTATTCACATTCTTGGCTCGGTCTGCCTTGGCTCTGACACCTTTTGTCACTATGTATGAGAGACAGTTAAAAATCTGGTTTTGCTATATAATTACCAAAATGGTGCATTAGAGCAAGTGAGAGTTAAATTCCTTCTCCAGACTGTACAGTTTCCTAACGCAAGAGTCTGTAAGTCGATTTTTTTAGTCCACTCAAAGATTCCTTGATGCAAGATTCTGTGTGCTCTTTTCCACTGGCGTTGCATCATTGTCACTCGCCTTGCCCCTGCACATGACATCCTCCGTGTCTGTGTGCACATGATATCCCCCTTGTCTTTGGTCCGTATCCTCATTGTCAATGGCACAGGGTCGTCTTCTCCAACGCTCAAGGTGCAAGGAGACAACTGGAGGTGCGAGGACGTCTATCCTCTTTATGGACTCACGCTAGACGAGTTCACTGCACAGAACAATGTGAGGGCTTGTTCAAAAGTACATCCCAATACATCCTGTGCCTGCAAATTCTTTTGAAATCAGAGGTACTCGTGATCTTCGAGACCGGCTGTTCACCCTTCCGTGTGGGGTACTCTTATACTGTCACTGCCGCTCACCTTGCTGTGTGGCTGTTCCGGCTGGCAGGCCGTGGACTGCTCAACTGCCCTCACCCGGGGTCAAACGCTCAACGTGACTGAGAGGGGCGACTTGACCTCCTGCTCTGTCTTCTACTACATTCAGAAGGTGACTGGCCTCCCGTGCAAGAGCCTCTCTGCTGCTCTGTCTTCCACTACATTCACAAGGTACCTACCTTGCAAGGGCCTTCCTCTTGCTCTCTCTGCTACTAAATTCAACTGGTAACTCGCCTCCCTTGCACCCTGTCGTGTGCTATGTGACAGCAGGTGTAGCTGCTGTCTCTGTATCTCAGTTGTTGTGGCATGCTGTTGTTGCTTATCCCCAAGCAGGGCGACACATGCGAGTCAGTGAGTCAGTGGCAGCATCTCTCGGCATCTCCTTCCAATCTCTGCAGCAGCTCAACCCCGGCTTTAACTGCTCCTCGCCACTCCCACCTCTCTGCTCCGCCACCCTTACTCCTCCCCATCCCCAAGCAGGGCGACACATGTGAGTCAGTGGCCGCCTCCCTCGGCATCTCCTCCCTATCCCTCGAGAGCCTCAACCCCGGCGTTCACTGCTCCTCACCCCTGCCCCCGTCACGCTCCCTCTGCATGGAGCGGGAAGATGGGGCGGATGACGGAAGTGGAGAGTACTGCAATACAGTGTACTCGGTCAGCGGCACGAGCAGCTGTGCGCAGGTGGTGAACGACTTTGAGTTCTCTTCCTCGCTGGAGCTCTACCGGCTGAACCCAGGGCTCGTGTGCTACAGCTCACTAACTGCCAATCGGGAGGTGAGTGTGCTACAGCTCACTAACTGCCAATCGGGAGGTGAGTGTGCTACACCTCACTAACTGCCAGTCTGGGGGTGAGTCAGAGGAGGCTGAGCATTGCCGGTTTGTTATCGGAAGAATTGCTTCCTATTTTGTTGTTGACCATGCAGCGCCATCTCTCCGCATCTCAATCACAGCCTGCCTGATACATGCCTTTCAATCCCTCCGTTTCACATACATATTTGTTGTCCACTTCAAGTGTTCTGAGTGAGTCAAACTTCTTTCTAACATGCGGGCATCCGCAAATGTGCAGGCTCGGTGGCCCAAGATATGTACCGAGGCCCTGCCGGTTGGTCTTTATGGTCAATGCGACATGGGAGTATCAAAGAAGTTCAAAGCAGCGGCACCATGCAGCGGCATCATCAACAGGTATTTCAAACGAAACAAGAAGCTGTATGAGAAGTACAACGACCCGTGTGCGGGGACTCTCGGTGGCAGCACTAGTGAACCCGTTGAGATTTGTCTGCCCCCGTGATTAGGGTTGGACAATCAGAGGAAGCAGAGAGCTGGGAGTGCTTGGTAGTTAATTTTGGGCAGTGGGAGGGAGCAGGGAGCTGTATGAGAAGTACAACGACCTGTGTGCGGGGACTCTCGGTGGCAGCAGTGGCGACCCTGTTGTTGAGATCTGCCTGCCCTCGTGATTGAAGCTTGCAGCCAATGTCTGCCTTGCATTTGCTTTTGAGTCGACTCAAATGCGGGGATTGGTGGGGTTGGCTATGCCGGGCCTGTTGTTGAGATCTGTCAGCTCTCGTAAGTGTAACAGCTCCTGTGCAGGGATTGTTGGTGGCGGTGACCGTGGGCCTGTTGGGAGTTGTCTGATTCTGTAGTTGAAGTGCGCAGTCAATTCGTGCCTTGCATCTATTAGAAAGCCAAAGGCGTGCATTGCCTGGGGTCTACGGTATATCATATATATTAGGATGTATGTTAGTCCTCTGTATTGTAATCCAATTTTGCCCACAAAATAGCGTTTTCTTTCACCAAGGCAAGCTTTAGTGACATCCTTTCCCCCTCCCCCCTCCCCGTCATTTCCTTATATACCTCATAGTAAATTTTCTGTAGTTAAACAAAGACTCCTTATCTAAACAAGCACTCTTTACTCACTATCGAAGTAGTGCATCCGCAGAGCTTCAGATGCAGACTTCCAGCAAAATGAAAATGCATCATCGCCTCGAGAAGGCTGTCATGCCTGAAGCCTCCCAATCTCATCCCTAAAAGCCACGCTGCGCATGGTACCGCGTGTCAGAAAGCCGAGTCGCCCTGGCAAATTGGGCTGGTTTTAGCCGCGAACGCCTTTCAAACATAATCGAGTTATTGTTGTAGTGTGAAGGTTCAGCACAGCACCGCCAGCATTGCTCTCTGCGCTTGCGGGAACGAGCACCGTCACCAGGCATTGAACGCCACGTGGCTGATAGGGGAAGATCTGTTCTGGAGATGCTAGGCCGAGTCGGAGGCGACTCATGATGGCAGTGCGCTAATGGTCGATGGCTAATCCGGGGACGCGGGAAGAGAGAGATGGGGAAGTGTCGTTTTCGAAAGTCGGCGTTCCTCCGCCAAGTGGCGGCGGGGTGAGCCAGGTGGCGGCAGTTGCGATCAGTCCAGTACAGACACGCAAACATGCCGGCGTTTGCCAGCGCGTGGGATACAGGCGAGCGAACAGAAGCGCGGCCGCCGTGAGAGAAGGGCGCGTGCGAGAGACGGGTGCCGCGAAGTGGGCGCCGCTATGCGGCACGCCGCATCGCGCCCTAGTGTCATCCCCTCCTCGAGAAGATTCGTTCTTACGATGCTATTCGGAGGCGGCTCGAGGCCGCGTGCGAGATGGGAAGCGGCGATGCCGCGGCGGCCGCGGTTGAAGGGCGAGAGATGATGGGTGTCGTGAGGCGAGTGCCACTCGCCCTGTGGGAGGCGCATCGCAACACTGCATCCCCTCAGCCCCTCCGTGCCTTCCTCGCCCTTCTCCATTAAGCCTAACGATTTCCAACTGCACGGTGATTCATTTTCCTCCTGCTCCCTTCCTCGCCAATTCCCTTCTGCCTTCTTTTCTCGATTGCTCTCGGCTCGCCGCCCTGCCCCTGGCGAAAGTGCCACGCTCGCGCCTGCGAGCTCGCGGCTGGCACTCAAGGTACGATGCGAAGACTTAGAAGGATTCGAACCGCCGCCCACTAGATTACCAGACGCTCTATGCTGCTCCCCTCACCTGAACGCGTTTCCTCTTTGATTATCACGTGCGCCCTGCTGTTCGCCACTCTCACCTCTCCTCCACGCCTGGGTCCTAGCCAACCGTTCCTCAGCCTGACTCTCTTGTCAGCTCAGCTCTCTTACCCGTGCTAAGCGCTTGGCCTGTTTTTGAGTCCGACTCAACAACAACCGTTCCTCTGTGTGACTCTCTCGTCAGCTGTCTTGCCCGTGCTGAACACTTTGTCTCGCCCCGCTGCCCGTTAGCCCCCTTCCCCCAATCCCCTCTCGTGTCGTTACCATCTTGACGGATTTACTCGTGTCATCATAGGCCTCTCTTACGTTCACGCGCTTATCTGCCCACTTCTTAGTCCCAGTGTTTCCTTCCGCTTCATTCACACTACCTCCTTCCTCCTTCCTACGCCTCCTATCCTCTGAGCTCCTGAGAAATGATGCACTTCGCCCCGTCTGTGCCTCCCATCTCGTTCTACTCGTGCAGTTTCCTGCTCCTTCCGTCTCCTGCCCCTTCCCCTCTTTTCAAATTCTGCTCCTCCCCTCTCCATCTCTGTCCGTTCCGCCTCCCTGCATGCCACTTGTGCTCACTCATCAGACCCCAGCCGTCTTCCTTCTCCCGCTGCTTATCCCCTCCGCACCCTGCTGTTGCTGCTGCTTCCCTCTCTGCACTCCCTCCCTGCAGAAGCAGGACCACACCACCTGTCCGTCTCCAGCTTTCTCTCCCATAGCCCATGGCTCGTGTGGCTGGGGTGGGTACGCCTGTAACGCCTCTGCTGATTGATCTCGTTCTCGCTGCCCTCATTGCTTTCCGTGTCGATCCATTTCAAGGTGACCCACCTCGCACCACCACCAGCATCAGCATCACATGCTCACAAGCGAATGATTTACAGGATGCATTTCGTTATCTGTTCTGGTGTGACTCTTGTTTGCTTGGTGCTTACTACCTCACCCCAATCTTCATCATATGCGTCTTGCCATTGTCTTGCTTGCACATATGCTCCCCTTGCTTTCTCTTGCAGCTGCCAGGTGTTACAGGGGGACTGCAAGCTGACCATCCGCTCATGCTGCCTGCAACTGAATTCCACACGTATCTGCACTCCCTTGGTGTAAGCAACCAATTCGCATGCATGCTTACAGGTAAACCTGCTCATTCTTCCTTTTCTCCCATCTTGCTGCTAACCATTTCCACTTGCCCACGGATTGACCCTGGCCAGCTGAGAAGAATCGTCGGCTCGGCAGACCAACTGGATGAGCAGAGCCGTCAGTAAACTTTTTTCCCATGCGTATTCCCCAACCACCACGTGAACACCCAGATGAATGCCTCTGCTGTGGGTCATGACGCCACTGGCCTTCCTCACCTTCAGCCCCCCGGAAACACCTCCTCTGCTCAACATGCTCACTCTCTCGCCACACCGTTCCACCTCCTCTGCACTCTGGTATGCTCCTGGACAAAGCCTTTTGCACTCTTAAGCACCTGTTTTGTTCTGCAGTTGCTGGAAAGAAAGCGTGCAGGACTTAGTGTGATTCCGCACATGTGCACAAAACAACATACTCGATGCGATCGTGTGATTCCTCAAATGCAGGCCTCCGTTGCATATGTTGCAATGAACGCGCTGGTGGCGCTACTATGGAGTATGGGAATCTCGTATCCGCAAGCGAATTCCTGGGTTCATGAGCAGAAAGTTGCAGTGACAACCAAGCTGTGGTTGCTCATAACCTCATGGGTATACCATAACTCTTGCCTGTGGGTGTCTGTCTGCTAGGGTATGTCGTTTAGGTCCCTCTGCTCTAAACCTATCCTCCCCACTTCCTCCTCAAGCCCTATTTTCTCCTCTCTTTTGCTGTTCCATTTTTTTTCGCCGCTCTCTCACCCTCCTTTTCCTACGCATGAATTACTCATTCCGCCCCCCTCTTCCCTCCCTTCCTGTTGCTCCTTCGCCAACTCTCCCCTCACCACCCCTTAGGCTCATGAGATATTCTACTTGACGTGCATTTGCTGGTTTTGTAGATTTGTTGTAACTTCTGCTTTCTTCTCCCATGCCTTCTTCAGTTGATGTGGATGAGACTGCTGCCTTGTGCTTTTGAGCATGGCAGTTTCACACTGCGGAGTATGTACGAAGCTGTAGGAATCGCTCTGGGCCGGCTAGTGGGAGTGGGTGAGTTGGGCGTGCAACTGGAGGAGCTAAGCGAGCAGCTGGAAGCAGCCAGGGGGGAGTTGGCTAAGAACCTGATTACAAGGCAAGCGGACGAGCTGGCAGCAGCAAGAGGGAACGTTGCTGAGCAGGCCAGTTGTGTGCTCAAGGCTGAAGCTACCCTCGAGGGAGCATTGGTGTCGCTTGTACGAGGCGATTGGGGAAGCACACGCATGTTGGATGTAAGTTGCACCTGCTCGGATGGAAATATGCACATGTTACATGTAAGTTACCACTGAAATGGGAACACTCGCATGTTGGATGTATGCAGGTGCGTTGCATTTTCAGCATCTGATTATACCTTCGTGTTTGCCTTTGCTGTGGATTTTTCTCCAGGTTGTTTCGTCAGCCCTCGGTGCGAGAACTGAAAGACGCACTTGTCTGCAGATGAAGAGTCTCGCCAGCATCTCAGACACTGCTCTCCACACCGTGTCTGACATGACTCACCTGACATCGATCGATTTGGTCAAGTCCCCAGGCTTCAGTGAAACACCTCTACAAGCTGCCACAACTCTGGCGGCTCTCACTTAGAAAAACGGTGGAATTCCAAAACTCTTATCTCTGGAAACCAATTTGTGAAACCCGTGGAATGCGGAACATCGAGACCCAAACCACACACAAACGTTCGACCCAACCTTTGTCCTGACCAGTAGTTGCTAATTACATTATTACCTACTCGATAGCACTTGGACACACAAGACCACGATAGGAGGGCCCCGTGCCCGAGCGGGGATCCGACATAACACCTTCCAAGTCTTGGGGTATAGTGGCCCATGACGAAGGTGGCGAGGCAGGCGAAAAATAAGTTCTTCGTTCAGTCCATTTGATTGTTGGCTGCTAGCTGCCACAAAAATCAGAAGAATATGCTGCTTTGTACCGCTGGCTCTATAGAAACATTTTTTCTTTAACGAAGCCGTTGTTGGTGAGTGTCCGCTTGTTTCTCTATCGTCGCCCAGAACGCGTTCAGCCTGACAGACTCCTCCGTGTCCATTCTCCCGCCAGTGAACAAATGCACCCTGATTGGTTGATTGGGGAAGAACGCGACGCGATCGAAAGCGCAATCGATTTTCGGCCATTAGGGCGTGTAACCATTTTGCACTCGACGGAACGAACCGTGGACCGTACGTCGATGCGAAGGGTTACCATTATCGTTTAATGTCGTGCAGTTATTCGCGAGGACGAGTGCGACGTCGCTACAAATTCGAACCGTCATGACACTTTTTCCGCTTTCCAACGACACGAAACTCTGACAACGGACGGTCCGAATCACAAATGGACTGTCCGCCTGTCCGCGCATGCGATTGGCGGGCGAAATTGGATTTCAGCAGACCGCCTCGCCAAAACATGAAAAAATGCGACTCGGATGCAAAAATTGACATTGACCAATCACAACTAGCCATACTACAATACAAGAAGCCACGACATTGACCTTTGTGCTTGTTTGAAAATTTCCTATGTTTGTCCGAAGCGCTGAACTCAACAGGCGAAAATTGCGATGGGTTGTGACTGGCGTTACTGGTGTACATTCGAGATGGCGAAGGGAAAACCATCGCGGAACCCTAGCATGTGGAAAAAGTGTCACATCTGCATTCGTACCGTCCGAAGTTGCAAACATTCAAATCGGACAGTCCGTTTCGTTATAAACGTACCGTCCGATTCCATATAATCGGACGGTACGTCAAAATCACAAAATGCAAAATGGTTACACGCCCTTATCTCCGATACTCAAAATCTGCCTGAGCGCGTTCTCAGGTGTAATCACCAACAGAAACACGGTTCTGCGATATAGTGAGAAGATTTTCTGTCTCATATTTGATACAGTCACTAAAAAGGTTCCAGCGCTTGCAAACAAATAAATATAAAACCTGAAGCAAACCTAGATGATTTCCAGTATTTTCTGTCTCATATTTGATACAGTCACTAAAAAGGTTCCAGTACTTGCAGAAGGTCCCCTTCTTTCCGTGCTGCTCCCCTTCAGTGGCTCCAACGTAGAAGACTAATTTCTCCCGCTTGGTGTTCTTTTTGTTGTACAGGTCGATCTCCTTTTGTTCGGAGAAAAGTGTGGCGCACAGGGCCGATTCAGAGACAGTTGCTCGAGCACGGAGCAAAGATTGGCATTGACGCCGGTCGGGTCTGAGGCCGGAGAGGACCATTGAGACGAACATGTCCTCTGAGGCTGATCCGCTGCACTTCTTGATGTGGTCACGCAAATTGTGGCACCGGTTAATATATGGTCCCGCTTTCTCCCCTTGATGCATTTTGACCGATGTAAGCTGGCTAAGGAGGCGACTCATTGTAACTGGATCTGTTGCCATGTATGAGTTGCGCAGGTGCTCCCAGGAGGCGTAGGCGGGCGCCCACTCTGATTTGTAGGAGCGAATGCCGAGCTGTTTGTTGGGGGAGAGATTTCGGAGCAGAGTGTTGTACGCGAGAAAAGATTCGTGGTAATACTGGTTCTTCTCTTGAATGGTGCCTTTCGTTGGAAACGGTAAGCTCCCATCGTAGTACATCCAGATTTGCGTCGTTGTCGCGAGGAGCTCAAATTCGAAGCTCCAAGTGTAGAAGTCCTTTCCGTCGAAAGGAACTGATGCTTTCAGCTTTGATGTCAGAACGAATTTTGTCTGCATTATTGCAATCGTATCTGAATGTGCGCGTTGTTGACTGTCTTGCACAGGAGCTGAAGCTTGACAGTTGTCAAACGCGAATGACCTCTCGGAGTTGACGCGACGGTCTTCTCCAGAAAGAGGAAGTCCGGCGACACCACGTGCATAGCTTGAGCCATCAACGCTCATCGCCTGGTGGCTCTCAAGAGCGTTGATGCGGGCGACCAGCTGCTCAACGAGAGCGGCGCTGACGGAGGTCACTGTAGATGGTGCAGTGGATGTTGCTGGTGGTGGGCCCGGGTGTTGCAATGGCTTTTCCTTCAGGAGCCATAGCAATGCAGAGTCTTCAATGTTGTATTGAATAATTTATAGAGAGAGTGTTCTAACAAGAACAAGAGCTTGGCAGGCCTTATAATCCACTCTAGCTCTCATACCATGATGTTATTACTGAAGGACCGTAGTGGATAGGATAAAGATGCCAAGTGTGAAGAAGAGAACTTGTAACGCCTCTGTAGTGACCTTGTTGGTAAATTGAAAGAGAACAAGATGATTATAAGATAGAGATACAAAGATATGAATAGCAATCCTAACTAGCTATGTACTCTGAGGGGTACATTCCCCTATTAACTGAATTGCATTGCTACAGTAACCACGACTATTGCCATTCTAGACAGTTACCATGTTGCATTTTGCAACTGCCTTGTGCAGTTACCGGGCAGTCAAGGGTCACGACCGTTGATTGTCTTCGACCGTTGACCTTCGGGTGACCCTCGACCTTCCGCGTGCTCTATATGAGCTATTGCGGTACTAGTATAGGCGTTTACTCCTTTGTGGAGTGACGCGAGAGTGGAGAACCTTCGAGAATGTTTATGATAACCTTTCGGTTATTCCAACAAACCAAACCCTAACTGCTTTACCCCATATGACACACATCACTAAAGGCTACAACATTTGACATACCCCCATAGCCTAAGTGAGGGGTGTCAAGCAAAACCAAAACCGTACGTCACAAGACCAATCACAAAGAAACAAAGCTCAGGGTGGATCACAACGTCACCACACATTCTGAGCACAAGCAAAAGAGCCACAAGGCCAGTCCAAGAGTCCACAGAGGTGTATGCAAAGTGTACAAAAAACAAGTAAAGTCTACACAAGACAAGAACCTGTGTCAACGAGGCCTAACTGCACACAACACCTGTGGTGGTCACAAGGCAGAAGGGCCTTGGTGAAGATGTCTGCAGTGTTGGCTTCGGACTCGACAAAGTCCAAGCGAGCCTGTCCACGCCTCTGCAACTCTCGCAGAAGAAAGTACCTAATGTTGATGTGCTTCACTCTGCACACCAGTCGAGGCTCTTGACAGAGGAGAATCGTAGCCTTGTTGTCAGTAAACAAGGTCGGTGCAGAGCTCGGCCGCTCACCAAGGTCGGTGAGCAAGAAGTTCAACCAACGCAGCTCAAGTGCAGCCATGGCTCCAGCGTGGATCTCAGCCTCAGCAGTAGAGGTCGAGACAGAGGAGGAACACGTGGACCTCCACGAAACAGCTCTAGAGCCCAGGCTGAAGATGTACCCTTAGTAGATTTGTGAGTCTCGGCGTCGTCAGCATAAGAAGAGTCACAACGACCAGTAAGTAGGACATACTATCTCCCTCCAAGTACCAGCCCCACGCCTGATGTTGTCGCTAGGTACTTCGCCACCCTCACAGCAGCTGTCCAGTGAATAGGACGGTGTCTCCCTGGCGCAACAAAGCGAGCAAGGATGCCGAGAGGGAAGGCGAGGTCCGGGCGAGTACAAGTCATCAAGTACATGAGGCAGCCCACAAGCTCTGCGTAAGGACCACTAGGCTTGAATGGCTCGTCAGGAAAGGGACCAGTGAGTCGGTGGTCAACGGAAAGAAGTGTGCGCTCTACTGTGGATTGCTGAAGCTCGACCAAATCAACCATATCAGCAGCGGCAAAGACCAGGTCATCGACGTGGACCACTACAACGAACGGTGTAGAGCCACGGGTTGGCAGAAGACGACAAGAATCATAGGTGAGACAGGGTAGAGCAAAGGGTGTCGTGCCACTCACGAGGCGCCTGACGGAGACGGTAGATCGGTCGCCGCAGCCTCCACTGGTTCCCACGAGGGAAAGTGCCAGTGAAGGCAAAGGGGTGACGCAACCAGACCTCCTCATGTAGGATACCCTGAAAGAAGGTAGAGGAGAAGGCGAGAGAGTGTAACTCGTAGTCTCTATGTCCTGCTAGGTGCAGTAACACCCGAAGAGTGGTCATCTTTGGGGTAGGCGTGAAGGTTTGAAAGAAGTCAAATCCCTCATGCTGACTGAAACCTCTAGCCACATAGCGCGCCTTGAAGACCGGAAGAGGTCCCGGTGGCCGCTTCACCCTGTAGATCCATATGCCATCGACTACGTTTGCCCCAAAGGGGGGGAACCTCGTCAACTTAGGTGCCTGTGGATCTGTAGGAGGCCATCTCTGCGTCCATGCCAGCTCTCCACTGGGAGGCCCAAGGCCCTGAAACTGCCTCAGCGTAAGTGCGAGGAGTAGGTATGTCAAAGGCGTCGGGGTCTCCCTCAGGAGCA